CCCATATGTGACAAGTGTAAAGTCGCTGAGGGTACCCTGGCACATCATTTCTGTGTACAAATTCAGAGTTTTTGGATAGAAATATTCCAGTTCTTTGCCAAGGTCTATAACTGTGTTTTACTCCCCGACCCAATGACAGCAATTTTTGGTTGGTCAGATTAGCTTGAGTCTGTCAGCCCGAAGGTATACGGTTACCTGTCCATATGGTTTGATTGTAGCTAAGAAAGTTATTCTACTTTTGTGGAAGAAAAATGTTAGGCCTCTCTTTTCTGACAGGTTAACTGGACTTCTACTTTACATCTGGAAATAATCAGATACACCATTTCTGGGAACTGAAAAATTTGACAAAATGTGGGAACCAGTTTTTACTTTTCTGATGAGCGACAAGGACTAATTTTGTATTCATTTATTTTAGATGGGTAGCAATTTTTATTTTTTTTTAAACTATTGTAATTACTTTTTGTAGGATATGTTGATCTTGTATACCGTCATTCTCCTTTTTTGTCATATTTTTGTGCTTTATTTTACTAATTGCACTGATTGTTGTTATATGAAGGGTCTGTTTGTCTGTTGTTGTTTGTTCTTCATGTCTGCAAAACCATAATAAAAAATAATAATTAAAATAAGTTCTAAAATGATTTCTAAAACGGTTTATACTGAAAATATATATTTTATCTGAAAACGATATGCACCCTGTTTATTTATTTAATGCCTTAACTTATTGTGTACAATGTTATTATTATAAAATATATTTTAGCAAAATAAATATACATAATAAAAAATAAATGTAATGTAAATGTTTTTTTGTTTTTTTTATGTTTTGTATAAAATAAGTAAATCGTTGGACATTGGCCCACATACATCCAACTGTCAATACATTTTTTAACTAGCATTTTTTTTTAAAACAGTAAGGTTCAATTTCTTAACATTAGTTAATGCATTAAGTATGTATACATTACAAGTATACATTGTAATTTAGTTTCTTTTTTCTTGTCTTCACCACCTGGCTACTGTTGTAAAATGTTGAGAGATTCAAACAAAAAGTAATAAAAAATAGAACAAAATAAAAAATAAAGCCTGCAAGTGACGTCGCTAGCGGAAGCGCAAGTGTCTGAGAGTGCAAGTCGGAGAATGCACGTGTCTGAGAGGGCAAGTGTCTGAGAGTGTAAGTCTGAGAATGCAAGTTTCTGAGAATGCACGTGTCTGAGAGTGCAAGTGTCTGAGAGTGTAAGTCTGAGAATGCAAGTTTCTGAGAATGCACGTGTCTGAGAGTGCAAGTGTCTGAGAGTGTAAGTCTGAGAATGCAAGTTTCTGAGAATGCACGTGTCTGAGAGTGCAAGTGTCTGAGAGTGTAAGTCTGAGAATGCAAGTTTCTGAGAATGCACGTGTCTGAGAGTGCAAGTGCAAGGCTGCAGCCAGACCCTTCTCCTAAATTGTCCACAACAACATAACTTTTTTGTGATTTACTGGATAAAGCTTTAAGGATATTTACAATATATTTTAAACTCACGAATTCTATCCAATTAAATATTCTAGAGCTTAGCATAACTAGAATTTATATATATATATATATATATATATATATATATGTATATATAAAAATGCCCATGGAGTTTTTTTAATTTTTTAGATTTTTTAAAAAATGTATATGATTTTTTTTCAAGTCTAAAAATCACACTTCAAAATGAGTCTTCCTCAATCTTTTCAAAACCATAGGAATTTTAGTTCTTTGAAGAAAAAAAAAATATTTGAGTGGGTAAATTAAGAAATATCTTTGTTGTTTTTAACTGATGCCCCCTAGTGGACCCCAGCCACCTGGTTAAGAACCAATGATCCACTGAGGTTATTGTTAATTTATAAATATTGTCATTAAGTGTTTATTTATAGTACATAAACTTGTTAATTTATCCAACTTAAAATACTTTTTCAAAAATGCCTATGTACAATTAATAAATACAGTAAAATTATAGTTCATTGTTTGTTCAGGACACCTAATGCAATAACTTGTATTAAACCTAGAATGTTTCTTTAAGCTCACCTTGTCATCATCTCAGTTGGAAAAGACTGCAGTTGTTATCCAGGCTCAAACGGATAAGCGTAAAGAGGGCAGCAAATGCCTCTGTAGAATTGTGACTGAGACTGAGCTATTTGATGCTCTGCAAACCCTGGAACGCCATGTTGGGTATGTACAGGTGCATCTCAATAAATTAGAATATCATGGAAAAGTTTATTAAAGTTTACTGACAATTAAAAGAACCAAAGACTTAAACTACTTCAGTCTGTGTGCATTGAATTTATTTAATACACAAGTTTTACAATTCAAGTTGAATTACTGAAATTAACTTTTCCACAACATTCTAATTTATTGAGATGCACCTGTACACTAATTGGTTGTGTGTGAGGGAGAGGAGGTTGAGAAGGCCAAGCTGTGAAAAAGCTCCAGGCTGGATCTCCTCCACTCTATTTCGGTCAATAATTAGCTGCTTCAGCGATGAAAGCCCATCAAATGACTCCTAGTTTGTTAGGAGAGAAAATTATGAGGTGCATGCAAAGATTGTCCCGGATTACAACTATAAAGACCAATCCATTTGGTCTTGTCTTACCTGGTACAGGATCTCAATTGTTGTTGTTGGCCAGGTTGAGCAAGACTAGCCGGCCGAGTCTACGGAAAGCTCCTTCCTGCACCCTTCTGCAGCGACAGGCGGGTGAGGTAAGGGGTGTGTGTGAACACCTCTGTAGGAAGCTCTTGCATGTAATTTCCTCTCAGATCAAGTTTCACTGTTATCTTAGAGATATACAGAGGACAGCATTCAAGCAATGCAAATATTATCAACATTTTATAGAAATTCAGCAAAAATAAAACCACAGTGATCATAGTTTTGCACAGATTCCCTCATCAATGGTAGGTGGCACCTCGTGAGATTCTTGTTGACACAAGCAACCATTAGCTGGATGTTGTCACAGATGCAGAACTTTGGGCATTTGCCTGCCTGCACAGTATGGAACTTCAGGGCAAGCAACATTATAACCTGCAACGTTGGAAGGCTAAACATTTTGGTCTTGCCGTGTAAAACAGAAGGTAACACCAAGTAACAACTTTACCTTATTCATGTTACTTTGTAAGAAAAAAAATAAGCAAGCTTAATTAAAACTGCCAGTTTAGTTTGCCAATGCTGCATGATTTGAGTATTTGGAGTGTTGAGCTCTGCTGGTATGTTTGAACTGGCGGGATTGAAGGTACAGAATTTATGATTGAATGCAACCATAATTTATGGTTGAATGCAACTCCTTCACTGCCTCACAATGAAATCTGACAATTAAACCCTCTTATAACAGCTATATTTCATTAAGATTTTGAGTCAAAAGTATATTCACACAAATGCGTTTTCTCTAACAGTAACATCGATTTTAAAACCCTCTTACATTGTGATTTTTTCATCCAACAGACAGGTGTAAACTACGTTATCACATCAACACTGGGATGTACAGTAAAACAAGAGTCAGCTATATAAAAAAAAGATAGATCTAACCAAAAAGGGGAGCTGTGGAAGAGGGTACTTTTAATACATTTAGGAAAAGGCAAGTTGTTTAAAATACTGGAAAAGAATAAGTTTAAATAAATGTTCTTGATTGTTGTCCAAAGTATAGCCTTTTATATATTTGATGATAGGTTTTGTCATCTGTGTGACTACCTGCCCCAATTTATTTTACAATTTGAGAAACGTGTTTCTGCCGTTAGACGCAATTTAAGTCATTCAACATATTAAATTTACAATATTTTACATTTTAAAGGGCATAAAACATTCATTATATTAATCTGAAAACAAAAAAATCTTGAAATGTTTCCCACCTTATTTGTAGGAATAAATATGAGATTCTCTCACGGTCTTCATTCAGTAATATTCGTCAAATGAAGTTCAGAGAGGCCTCAGGAACCGCTCCGTCATAAACAAAATACTTACAAAATAAAATTTCGAACAAAATCATTACATAAAAACAATTTTAGTTTCTTTAAAGAAAAACACTACATCTTAAGGGCACCGCAACCGAAAAAGTGATTTTCCAAATGCGAAATATGTTCGTTCGAGTCCAATGAGACTTCAGACCGCAACTCTGTTGCACACTGTTCTCAGTCTGGCCATCAGTTACACATAAATAAACCACTGGAGGAGAGAAGGTTCCCTGCAAGTGGTTCAACACCTATAATCTTTTCAGAGTCAAGATACTGAGAAAATCGCCCGATAGGTTTGCTGACCTGCTCAAGGCTCAGTGCACTTGGGGCATCAGACGTTTCGTGAAAGCGTGGAGTGAGTTGACCTACGGCACTTTATAACTGCATGCAAAATGGCTTTACATTTGAAAACGGTGAACATTACACTGAAACACAGACAACATGATTTTTCCTTCAAGAAAAAAAAAAACTTTATTATCAACAAAATGGAATGTTGCCAATATAACAATATTCAGTGCTTACCAGTTGTAGTATTAAATATACTAATGTCCAAACATTTTTTCCACTTCACTTTCACTGCCTTCATTTCAATCCAAAGACTCTTAGGTGTTTATTCTACTTGATTTTGGTTTTAATTCCACCACCAATCTTTTCACAATATGGCACATCTAATCAAAGGCATGAGAGTGAACAATGCTAATGTGGCTCCACGCCAATGTGACAGTTTAAGTAACAACTGTTCAGAAATATCAGTTATAACATTACAATCATTTAAGGTTTAAGTGATAATTAAGCCCTAATTATCATCCAGTGCATTTTTCCTATTATCCCTTTTCATGTATAAAAATAGAAGCAATATTTCTAAAAAGAGATGAAAGAACACAACAGTTGTCTACAGTTCATCTGTAAGGAAATTTAGTTTGGGTTAGTTGTCATGAGGCACTATCATCAATGTACTTTGCAGTTGTCTGAAATCTGCATGCCAAAAAGGATCCAGAATTGACTGAACTTATGTAAACTAGATCAATAGTTTAGATAGTTTCATGTATCCTGTCAAGGTTTTTTTTTTTTTTTTTTACCCGTATTAAGTAATTTCAGTGGCTCTGTAATGAGGGTTAAGAATTAAGCAGTGGTCCTTTTCACCAATGTGGTCTTGAGAGCATCTCTGGCACTGCAGCAGGATTCTAAGACTTTGCCATTTCTGTAAAACAAACAAATACATAAATATAATGTACTTAATATTGTTATAGTACAAGAAAAATAGGTTAAACAAAACTGTCACTAAGGTTCTAATATGAACACTTTAGGTATTAAAGGTGACTTATGCAAAAATCACTTTTATAAGGAACACAGTTGTGTGGTCGCAGTGTGTGAAAACAACCAGCCTATAATGGTAAAAATCCACCCACTCATTTTTTTATAATCCCAATAAATCATAAACAGTCTCTCCAAACGAGCGGTTCCAGATTTCTTCCTATATACACGTCATACTAGGGAAAGTCCTGCCCATTTGTGATGCTCTCTGCCCCATTAGCATAGACACAGCCCTAAGTGAGAAGCAGTAGTCCACCATTACTGTTTTCTTGCTGTAGCTGTTGGAGATAAAATGTCAGCACCAAAGAGGCATTGCAAGTGTCGTGTGTTGGGATGCACCAACGAACATAGGAGTCTCCATAGACCGCTGAGGAAATGGCGGTAAAATTTAAAGGAAATGTCCCAGAAAAAAACTGAAAAGTTTGTGCTAATCATTTTACGCCGGACTGCCTTACAAATGAGGGTCAGTTCAGCGCTGGAGTTGGGCAAAGTTTGCTTCCAAAAGAGGAATCAATACCAACACTTCATGCGCGAACATCAGCTCCAGACAAAGTAAGCATCACACGTCATATTTTGTTTTCCAAAAGAGCTTCTTGGCTCTCTGTAAGGCTAATGTTGCTAAAGCTACCATTGTCTCTGCCTGTTGTCACTGATGCTGCCTTCACGTGCTACCAGAATGATCGTAAATAGGAATTTGGTAGTTAAAAATTGCATATGGAAGCAATGTGAAGTCGAACACTTTAATTTGTCGAGCTCATAATCACAAGTGGGACTTATAAAGGCACCATGAGACCAGCTATGTTGTTATTTTTAATCGTGCCATGCTCCCCGTCTGTGTAATTAATAAACACGCATTTACTGCACAGTCCAATCAGATTGCGTGATATTGTCGTGTTTTATTGGTGCCGGTATGCCGAAGCATGAGATCTTGAAGCTCCACCCTCTTCTGAAAAGGGAGCACCATTTGCATTTAAAGGGACAAACACAAAAACGGCACGTTTTGGCTCTCACCCTAAAAGTGGCAATTTCAACAAGCTATAAAAATGATCTGTAGGGTATTTTGAGCTAAAACATAATATACACACTCTGGGGACATCAGAGACTTATTTTACATCTTGTAAAAAGGGGCATAATAGGTCACCTTTAATTTAGGTATTATTATATTAATACTAATTAGGTGTAAAAAGGTACAAAGTTGTACCTTTTAGCTATTGTATAGCTATTGATGCTGCTAAAAAGAAAAGTTGTACCTTTTAGCTATTGTATAGCTATTGATGCTGCTAAAAAGAAAAGTTGTACCTTTTAGCTATTGTATAGCTATTGATGCTGCTAAAAAGAAAAGTTGTACCTTTTAGCTATTGTATAGCTATTGATGCTGCTAAAAAGAAAAGTTGTACCTTTTAGCTATTGTATAGCTATTGCTATTGATGCTGCTAAAAAGAACATTATTTGGTGTATTTGGTGTAATGAAATTTGTTTATGCGGTTTAAGGTAAAAAAAAAACATTTTCCACATACTGTACATTATTGTTTCTCCTCTATGCCCCGCCTTTCTGAAACGCATTGATTTTTACAAAGCTCATCAGTCTGAAAAGCGAGGTGTGCTCTGATTGGCCAGCTATCCAGTGAGTTGTGATTGCTGAATACCTCAAGCGTGTGACGGAAATTTTACGCCCCTTACCATATTATTATGCCCTGTCCAGCCGGAGTGTAACATAAAACCATGTCTGCATTTGTGATTGGAGAAATGACAAACAACAAGTGCTACTCTACACTGCCCAAAAAACTCGCGTTTGAATCGTCAGTGGCAAATTCTTTAAATATAAAAAAACGTACTTACAGTCTGTGAGTCAGAATAGCCGGCATTGTAGTCTACTCTACCAGGATCAGGAAACAGTCCTCCATAAAATGTGCTGCACAATCTGAATATTTGGGTTAAACTGTTCTGGAACGGTGTTGTAAATACAACTTAACCACTTATTTCTAGTCGTGTCCTCTTTTGGAAGGCCAAACAAAGTAGTTTCGCTTTCACAACGAAAAAGCTTCACACATCGCGGCCTTGAGTGAGCGGAGGCCAGAGGCCTAGAGTGAGCCGCGGCCTAGAGTATGCGGAGGTCGGCTTGAGTGAGCACAGGCGGGCGAGCTTGAGAAAGGCGCGGCAGGCAGATTCGACGAAGGAGCGTCCGGCGAGCTTGCAGCAACCACATGTGACGACCCCGGGCTGGACTCCGCTTCGTCTACGGTGAAAGCCGATCCGGCGATCGACAGCGAGAAGTTGATGTATTTCCTCAGCGACCAGCACGGATCAGCTCCAGGCATGACGAAGCAGATAAAAGAGGCCGTTCTCTTTTGGAAGGCCAACCAAAGTAGTTTTGCTTTCACAACGAAATGCGCCTTCACGACATGGCGGCGGCAACAACAATACTACAGCAAGAATAAAAGTTACGCCTTCTTTCTTTGCGTGAACATTTGGGCGGCGTTATGCAAATCTTCCCACATCGTGACGTAGACATGTGGGGGCGTGTTAGAACGAGCCGTTTTAGGTAGGCGTGGTTGACTCAACTTTTATAAAGAATATCTC